TGTGCACTGTTCTAGCTGGACTCTGCTGTCTCGGTGACATCTGTCTTCCTGCACAGGCCAGCTCCAATCTCCATTTTTAGAAACCTTCCTGGACTAGCCAGGGCCTGTTGACCTCTGCTCCTGTGACCTGCTCTACGGGTCGGTGACAGCCACTGCAGAGTTGTCCTTAGTCATTCCCAGTCTGCCTCCTCCAGTCACACAAGCCCGTCTTCCTGCTGAGATCTCAAGATCCTTGTGGGATAAGAAAGTAAAAAAAACGACCTTACTCTCTCAGTGACCACTTTACCTAGTCACTACGTGGCCACAGAGAGGTCCTCCATGGGTTCTGTGTCTCAGGACTGCTGTGGTCCTGGAGGGGACAGTGTTGACCACAGGCAGGCCTCTGGCCACAGAAACATTTGGAGAATACAAGTTTTTAAAATTGTTTTTTCTGGTTTTTATTGTTGCTTCTTGTTTATTTGTTTTGAGACAGGGCCTCAGGTAGCCCAGGCTGGCCTGGCACTTACAGTGAAGCCAACTCCTGATCCTCCTGCCTCCACCTCTTGTACCACTGCACTTGATTTATGTGGTATAGGGGAATCGAACCCAAAACCTTGTGCTTGGTAGGCAAGCACTCTACCAACTGAGTGACACCCTCAGTTCCTATGAAGTTTTTTTAAAATGACCCTCACCCCAGGGTTGAGACTGTAGCTCAGTGTAGAGCCTTTTCCTAGCACATCTAGCATGTTTGAGGTCCTGGGTTCTATTCCCAACACTACCAAAAACCTTAAGCCCATTCCATCCTCCTATGCCAAGTGTTACTCCACCCCTGCCCATCTGGTTTACCTGGAAAACAGTGTCCGCACAGCAGCAAGCCCCGAAGGCATGGCCCTTCTTGTCTCTTGAAGCTGAAGGGGACTTCTCAGAAATGTCATTGTCACGGAAAGCAAACAGGCAGAGAACTGTTAAATTAGAGACTAAAGGGGCAGGATGACAAATGGCCATGTGTGACTCTTGACTGCATTGTGGGCAAAGAACTGAAAAAAAGAGACATTTGAGGGAGAGAGACAGTTCCAATAGAGAGTGGACAGTGAATGTGTGTTAGTGTCAGACGTGTGTGTGTGTGTGTGTGTGTGTGTGTGTGTGTGTGTGCAGGGTATATGTGTACATGTGCATTCAGGTGTATGTACGCTTATGTGGGTGCATGTCGGAGCAGATAATACTGTTGCATGTCTTCCACCGTCACAGTTGACATTACCAGTTTTTTTTTGGTTTTTTTTTTTTCATTTTTAAAATCACATTTTTTAGCCAAATGTGGTGGCACACACCTTTAATCCCAGCTCTGGGAAGGCTGAGGCAGGTGAATCTCTGTGAGTTGGAGGTTAGCCCGGTCTACAGAGTGAGTTTGAGTTCTAGAGTGGCCAGGGCTGTGCAGAGCGACTGGGGACGAAACCCAGAGCCCTGCACTAAGCTGTGTCCCTGTCTTATTTTTTTTTTTATTTATTTTTAGATAGAGTCTTGCTAAGTTTCCCAAGCTAGACTTGAACTGTCTTTGTAACCCAGATAGTTCTAAATCAGACACCCTCCTGCTTCAGCCTCAAAAACAGCAGGAACTACAAGGCAAATCTACCAGCCTGGCTCCAGATTTTTGTTTGTTTGTTTGTTTTTTGTTTTTTTAGAGACAGGGTTTCTCTGTGTAGCTTTGCTCCTTTTCTGGAACTCGCTCTGTAGACCAGGCTGACCTTGAACTCACAGAGATCCACCTGCCTCTGCCTCCCAAGTACTGGGATTAAAGGTGTGTGCCACCACCGTCCGGCCCAGATATGTTTTTAAGGTTTTATTTATGGGTCTGGAGAGTTGGCTCTGAGGTTAAGAGCACTTGTTCTTGCAAAGGACTCAAGTTCAATTCCCACCACCCACACAGTGGCTCAGAACCATTTGTAACTCTAGTGTCAGCAGATCCGATGTCCTCTTCAGACCTCCAAAGGCACCAGGTAAACATGTGGTGTACGCATAACATACAGGAAAAACACTCATGCACATATAACAATAATAAAAAAATTTTCCCCCAGAGCTGAGGACCAAACCCAGGGCCTTGCATTTGCTAGGCAAGCGCTCTACCACTGAGCTAAACCCCCAACCTGACAATAATAAAAATTTTTAAAGATTTTTTTTTTTTATACCTGGCCTGGTGATGCATGCCTTTAATCCCAACACTCTGGAAGCAGAGGCAGATAGATCTCTGTGAGCCCAAGGCCAGTCTTTGTACCTACATACCAAGTTCTAGGCCAGCCAGAGATACACAGTAAAACCCTGTCTCCAAAAAATATTTTAAAAATTTTATGTGTATGAATTTTTGCGCACACGTATGTATGTGCATCACATGCGTGCAGTACACATTGAGGCCAGAAGGGGGCATCAGATCCCCTGTACCTGGAAGTACAGATTATTGTCCACTGCCGTGTGGGTGCTGAGAACTGAACCTAGGTCCTCGGGAAGAGCAGCCAGTGCTCTTCAGAGCCTTCTCCAGGCCCCCAAATCTGGTTTTTAAAAACTGCATTCACAGTCGGGCATGCAGTACACCTTTAATCCCAGTACTTGAGAGGCAAAGGCAGGCGGATCTCTATGAATTCAAAGTCAGCTTGGTTTGTGTAGAAAGTTTCAGGCCAGCCAAAGCTACATAGTAAGATCCTGTCTCGAAATGATAATATAAGAAAAAGAATCTGCTGTCTACAAAAAAAAAAAAAAAAAAAAAAAAACGCCAACATTCCCAGTGCTATGTTCAGGCTATGACGTGGTCAATTGTACCAAGGGACTGACTACAGTGTGGTGACCTGCACAAGATTCACCAGATGAAGCTAGCTAACTGTCCAACAGGCAGAAATAACTAGACCCAACAGATTAAAAAAAAAAAAGGACGGGTCTTGGTGATACACACTTTTAATCCCAGCATTCTGGAGGCAGAGGCAGGCGGATCTCTGTGAGTTTGAGGCCAGTCTGGGCTACAGAGTGAGTTCCAGGACAGGTTCCAAAACTACACAGAGAAAGAAACCCTGTCTCAAAAAAAAAGGGGGGGCGGTGGACTGAAGGGGAGGAAGGATGGCCTGGGGTTGTTGGGGGGGTGAAGAGAGAGAGTTTGCATGGATATGCTCAAGATGTTTATATGTATGGAACTGTCAAAGGTTTCATAAAAGATGATTTTATTAAACATACATTAAGCCAGGCTTGGTGGCCCAAGCCTTTAATCCCAGCACTTGGGAGGCAGAGGCAAGAATATGTCTGTTAGTTCGAGGCCAGCCTGATCTACATATCAAATTTCAGGACGGCAAGGCTACGTAATAGAAAGATCTTGCCCACTATATGTAAGATATTAATATGTGTATTTATTAAAATCTCTTTCTCTTTGGAGCCGTAGCCATGAGGACAGTTTCTTCCTGTGTTCTCAAGAGTGAGTGGTACAGAGATTTTGCAATGATAGCCGGCCTGTAACTTCCTGTGTAGACCAGGTTGGCCTCGAACTTAAGACTATACTCCTGCCTCTGTCTTGCAAGTGTTTTTTCTTGCTTGCATCACCTTGTGGAACCCTGCTCGTTACCTTTTTGCTATTTTACAGGCATCGCTTGTATTCATCAAAGTCTCCTGCCCACGTGTCAGAGGGTCCACAGGATGTGTTAGCCCGTGCTTGTTGGGCCGGGTAGGTCCCTTTTCTGGGACACAAGAACCACGTCTAACCTGCCCACCCCGATCTGCTCAGGAACGGCCCACAGAAGTAAGGAACTCGCCCCAGGCCTTTCCTGGCCCAGGGAAAAGGTGGTGGACTGGGCGGGCCGTGGGGAACCCGGGGCAGGGGGTGGCTCTTCTCCCAGGCAGGGCGTGGGCCGGGCGAGGTCCTCAGCCCTGCGCACCGTGCCAACAATGGGCTGTTGTAGAAGGAGGCAGGAATGTGGCCCGAGGAGTTGGGCGGCGGGGCGGAGCCGGGTCCCAGCGGCAGCCTCTTACCTGTCCAGGTAGCTCGCATTTCCAGGCGAGCGGCGGCGGCGGCGGCGGCGCCCGCACCACCTGTCGTGGGGTGCGCGGGCGGGGAGCGCGGCTGGGGGCCATGGCCTGGTAGTGTCCCCTGCGGAGACGCTGCGGAGTTTAGTCAGGGGCAGGACAGGGCGAGGGAGGGCAGGTCCTTCCCTCGGGGACAGAGAGGCCTGCAGCAGCATGAAAAAGAACCAGACGATGCAGGGGACCTTCAGCAAACTCTTTGGGAAGAAGCATGCCAACCCTGCCACCACGTCCCTCTACGCCACCAACCCACCCTGGATTTTCACCCAAGAGGCCCAGGAGGAGGGGACCAGGGACTTTGGTGAGTGCACCCCGGGGGAGGGGGGCAAGGGAGAACCGATGGCGCCTCCTGCCTCCGGGCTCTGGCGTCACTTGGGCGCTGGGAAGGCGGGCAGGGGCAGGGACACGTTGGAACCTGCGAACCGGCCAAGGAGATGCTGGGAAGGGGGAGGAGGCGCCGCAGCCCGAGTCGGAGAGGCGCAGGGACCCTCTAAAGCGAGGCCGGCGAACCCTGCCGCCCTCACCTGCCATCCCGGCCCCCTTCGCAACCTTGGGTGGGGTTTCTGTTTGTGTGGCCGTCTTTGCTTGTGTCTCCCACCCCACCGCATATCCGCATTCTCTCTGAGTCAGAAGTGTTCCTGAGATCTAGGCATCTGTCCCTCACCCTTTCCGCTTCCTCTGCCCCGCAGAGAGCCTGCCTCGGGTGCCGTGTGGCTGCTCTGTTTGGGTAAGACAGCCAGCCGCTGCTAACAGGTTGCAGCCCTTTGCAACACAGAATTATTAGTTTTGTTTTGTTTGTTTGGGGGGTGGGGACGGGGGGGGGCAGTGTCCCAGGCTCTTGCCAGGTCCACTTGGGTCTGGGTTGTCTACTGTCTCGGGTTAAACTCAGGTGGGACACTGGAGAGCAGGGAGCCCTTGAGTCAAAGACAGTTGTCTTTACAAACTTCTGGAAACAGACTGGCCCTGCTCCAGGTCTGGCTATAGGTCGCCTTATCTCTCCCTCCATCTACGGTTTGTATACTCTTAGCCCAGGAGAATGGGGGAAATGGTGGACAGGCATTCACTTCGTTTTCGATACGTGAGTGATTCTGGGGTCTCCGAGGGAGACCAAGGTGTGTCACTGGTCGCTCCCTTCATTTTCTTCTTCATCACCCTTGGGGCCACTGTGTGGGGCCACAGAGGACAGTGCAGACTCATTGGTGCTGTCGGTTGTTTGACACCCATATTACTACATTGGGGGCCAGGACCACAACAAGATGCCCCCTGACCCAAAGACCTCTCACCGCAGGCAGACAAAACCAGCAGTGTGCCCTCCTGCCCTTTGGGGTCCTCGGCTCTAAGACAGTCTTCGGGTGCATGAGGAAGAGAGAAGAGATGCCTCTAAGGGCACCTAGCCTCGGAGTGGAGCGGGAGGGGTGTTCCTGGCAGAGCATAGGCTGCAGCAGAGGAAAGGGAGCCGGGCAGAGTGGGGGTGTGTCGTAGGAACTTGAGGACACCCTTGCAGGCAAGCGTGCTCAGGAGTACTCTGTGAGGCCCCAACACCGGGGCCTGAACGAAGACGTTAATAGCAAACTGTCACTCACCCTTTCCTAGTGCAAGCTCCCGTGAAACGTTTGGTGTCAACTCACTGAGTTTTTGTCTCGTGAAAGATACTATTATTGGCTTTCCAGACGAGGACACCAAGGACCAGGGAGGTTACAGAACTTTTTGAAGATCACAAGATTGAAATGGTAGAGCTGCAAACAGATGCTTTTCAGTAGACTAGAGACTTAGAGAGCTGTCACAACCAAGTCTGAGGATTTCTAGTACTCCAGAGTCTCACTGGTGAGAGAACCCACATCTAGACCCAGGCTAGCTCCCGCTCTTAGCCAGTTTGCGGACTTCACTCTGGAGGAAGGGACGTAGGGTGAATTGGGATAGCGGGTGCCTTAAGGACCAGCTCCCCATTCCCTCTCCAAGGAGAGTCTCAGAACAGCCTTCCCACAGTCCCTCTCTATTTTCCCAGGATGACCAGACTGTTGCTAGGGATCGGTACTGGAGAGAGAAGAGAGACAAGGTACCCTGTCAGCTCTTACCAGTCTAGGCAGGGCAGGAGTCTAGGGGACTGCTCCTCCCTGTCCCCAGGGCAGGGCCAGGCCTTCAGCTGACTCAGTTAGGCTGTGTCTGCACTGGGCTGGGGTTTGGGGGGGGGGGCAGAGAGCACCAACCCAGCAGGCTGGCTCTCCTGCCTTCTGGAGTGTTCCCAGGGGCGCGCACAGGCATGAGAAACCCTGTTCCTTGCTCTGCTTGGGCTGAGGGAAGGAACTGGTGCTGGGGGTTCTGGGGCGTCAGTGGATCTGCCCCCCTTACCCATTGGTCAGAGACAGTGCTAGCTCCCTGCGCCTCGGAGTTTCTGTCCAGTGTGTAAGGTATCAAGACTGCTTAGAGCAGCGGTTCTCACCCTTCCTAATGCTGCGACCCTTTGCTCCAGTTCCTCGCGTGGTGGGGACCCCCAACTAGGAAATGATTTCGCTGCTACTTCATAACTGTAATTTTGCTGCTGTTATGAATTGTAATGTAAATATCTGATGAGCAAGGTATCTGATATCCAACCCTCAAGGGGTCTTGGCCCACAGATTGAGAACCACTGGCTTAGAGGGGCTGCCTGAGGTCATGCATATAGCAACCTTTGAAAACACAAAAGGAACCTGGCCTGTGCTGGCGCACGCCTTTAATCCCAGCACCTCCAGAGGAAGCGGAGGCAGAGGCAGGGGGATCTCTGTGAGTTCGGGGGCCAGCCTGGTCTACACATAGAGTCCTGGACAGACAGGGCTATTACACAGAGAAACCACGTCTTGAAAAAACAGACAAACAAAAAGAGGAAGCTGCCTCAGTGAGGAGATAGGTAGCTGCAAGAGTCTGTTAAAGTCTTAGTTGCCGCCCAGCCTTTCCAGAAAGTTCTCCAGCGATTTCCAAATCACGGTTTGTTACACTCAGGTCAATGAAGCTTTTTGTTGATTTTTGTTGATTTTGTTGAGATGTTGCCCAGGGTGGCCCTGAACTCCTGGACACTCCATCGATCTCCCTGCCTCAGTCTCCTAATGGCTGGGACCACAAGCTTGTGTCACTGTGCCGGGCTCAGCCCCACTCCGAACTTTGCCTGTCCCCGCCGACTTCATTTCCCTGTCCTCAGGTGGCCGTACTCCAGAGGAAATAGGCACGAAGAGGCACCCCGAGGTTCCGAGGGGGTGGGGCATTCCTGGTCTAAAGGCCCCTGAGACTGTGGCATCTGCCCCGTTTCCAGTGCTGGGGGACAGGCGGTGGATGAAGGGGTGGGAACCAGAAATCCATGTCTGGGTATGTGAAGGAACTGAGGCCACCTGGTATGTGGCTACAGCCACGTCCCAGGTCCCGGTCTGTTTGCACAAGGGTAGGCTGGGCTTGGATAAAACGCAAACAGGCACAGGTAGTGATGGGTAAATTTTTCTAGACCGGGTATCTGCCGATTACAGCCTTCCTGAATGCACTCACAATCCTAATTAAGCCCCTCTGCCTCCCAAACACGAGCTTCAAAGGGCTGTGCGATTGTCTCTTAAGTCCTGGAGAAAACAGATTGGAATCTTCACAGATCTCTGTTGTCTCTTTTGATAAGAGACTGGGCCACAAAAGCAGCTGCTGGAGCGGCCGAGCCCAAGCTGCCCAAGTTTCCTGGTGCTCTACTTGTCAGTGGCCTCTTAGCTCAACTCATCTGAGGTTCCTTCCCAGCTGCTGACCCTCCCCATCCCAGCAAGGGGAAGCTGGGGACTCCCCTGCCTGGTTCTACTAAGTGAACAACGCCTGCCCTGCACAATCACGCCAGACCCTCATCGGAGGCAGATTCCTCAGGCCCAGGAGCTGGGCTGGCATTCCCTGCGTGCCTCATTCCCAGGTGGCTCTTTGCACCAGATGCTCTGAGAATTCTTGGGATTTCCTTCCCCTGCTGGAGCTGAGCTGCTGGCTTTCTCCCGAAGACCCCTGCAGGGTATTCAGCAGGCTGGAAATAAGTGTGTGGTGAACTGTGGCTGGCTGCTCCTTATCAGCATTCCCTATGATGGCTGCTGGTTCTAGCATCCTTATTCCTGAGGCTTTCTCCCTAGTCCCACGCACTTTGCATACCAGGCCAGGCTGAAGGGTAGCAAGCCAGGACCCTCCCAGAGCTGAGCGCCTATGTCCAGTCAGGGCTGGGCTATCACCGGCATGTAGAAAGCTGACTTGTGCTTTGCAGGGGTGTGAAGGAATCTTGTTTACACTCTGTCACCTAGAGTAAACACAGCCTGGAGATGCACTTTTGAGATGGGCTGTGGCTTCCTGGTTCAGCACACGCTTGCACATACACCCACCCCACACCAGACATACATGCACACCCTCCCTGTCTCTCTCACCCTCACCGTGGCCCCATTATAGAAGCACCTCATTCTGCTGTAGCTAACTCCAGAAAGCAGGCCCCTCCTTGACCCTGCAGACAGCCCTGTGTAGCCCATAAGTTAATAATGGTCATAGCGTTTTTCTTTCTTCTAAAGTGTCAGCGATAGGACTCCAAGCCTGACTCACGTTAGGCAAGTGCTCTGCTGCGGGACACACCCCTAACCTGAGCAATAGCTTCGCTGTTAGTCCCCAGGCCGAGCTCGTAAACCCCATCTGGTCTGTATCATCCCGTGTCAAGACTCCCCGGTGCGTTGAGGGGCTCGGCATCAGCGTGCACCCGATCGCAAGGGCTCTTGTCAAGATCAGTTCCCGATCTGACAGGTTTGGAAGGGGAGAGGTTCAGAATTTCCAGCAAGTCCCAGGTGAGGCCATCCAACTGCCCTGGGCTGAGACGCAAGCCTTCCTGGGAGAGTGGAGGGCTGCCTTTGCTGAATCGGTGTCCTCCTCGGTCCCTGGGTTAGACCGGTGTGCTTTGGGCCGCTCACCAACTTTCGTCACCTCCCCTGTCCTGCCTCTCTTCCACCCCAGCTCTGTCCCCTCTGCCCTTGGACAAAGGCCTCCCCCTGGTGCTTAGGTCAGACCTGCTGGGGCTTGCTGGGACAAACTGGCCTTTTCAGGTTCCTGTCATGTGAACCTGCTAATTAGCAAGGAAGGGCCTCATTAATGTCCTTTGTGGGCTACATTCACATGGCCACCCCTTGTTGCTGCCCTGGAAAGCAGGTGATCTCCAGTGGTGGTAGACTGGAAGTCCCAACCTTCCCACCCCACTATAGGGGCCCCCACTGCGCATCTGCCGTGTGGTAGAAGCAAGGGGAGGTAAGTTTGGGGATTCCAGGTTACTCTGGATCAAAGCCGTAAGTCCCCTAAGGTACGACCCCATTCTTCCTAAATCCCTGAAATCCAGTAGATCTGTGGCCAGTGCTCTGGAGGTCACCAGGGGCTCCTGGCAATTTGGGACTCTCTGTCCCTTTTCTTACCCCTGACGGCTTCACTGCCATGAGCTTGGAATGCTTCCTACAATGTAGGAGTCATTCTCCCCACTCTACAGGTGGAGAAACTGAGTCTGAGAAAGTGCCGAAGTTCATAGGTATTGCCTAGAGGAGCTGAGCTGTGAACCTGGATATACCTCCTAGGTCCCGGGTCCTTTTGCCTCCCCTTGGACTACACTGACTACAGGACCCCCAAACTCTGAGTTCTTCCCTGTTATGCTGGCTGTGACTGGAGGGGTCAGATTTAGTTAGGGGCATGTTGCTGGCCCTGAGTATGGCCCCTCTTGTTCACCAGCTGTGGTATCTGTGAGCATATAACCTCTTCCAGCTTCAGGTTCCTCCTCAAAGTTAAACCCTTTCAAGTAGTTCCCCTGGATGGCAAGATAACTCAGTGGGGGAGGTAGATCTCTGGGTTCGAGGCCAGCCTGGTCTAATGAGTGGGTTCCAGGACAGGCAGGGTTTCACAGAGAGACCCCGTCTCAAAAGAAAGGAGTGCAGAAGATGGATGGTTCATGGGGAAGGGTGCTGCTGTGCGTGCATTCAGTCCCCAGAACCCACGTGAAGACGGAAGGTCCACAGGCACGCTGTGGCTCCCTCACGGATGCAGAAGAACACGGACACACTCACACATTTCAAAATGGTTTTTTAGAAACAGTATTTCCCCCTACAGGAGGCCTGAGAGCCTGGAGTGTGGTTCCCTATGGCTCTGGGTTTAGCTCAGTGGTAGGCAGAGTGGTTTCCTAGCAGACACAAGGCTCAGGTTCAGTTGCCTGGAGTGCAAGATAAAGAATACTGCCTACACCAGTCTGGGCAGCTCAGGCCAGCGAGTTCTGGGCCAGCCTGGGCTAGCGTAAGAAGAAAAGAAGTGCC